CTGTGTGTATCTGTATGTATCTGTATGTATCTGTATATATCTGTATGTATCTGTATGTATGTATGTATCTGTATGTATCTGTATGTATCTGTATGTATCTGTATGTATCTGTATGCACCTGTATGCATCTGTATGCATCTGTAAACATATATCTATATCTAAATATGTAGGATGTAAATATATAATGTATAATGGAATGATATCAGCATCTGATTGATGATATGATGGAATTACAATCACGATGATTAAATATGCATATACAATATGCAAGGATATCTATAGTATGAACCATAATTATTGGCCTATGGGTTACCAAAATGATAAGAAAAATATGCTAGGGGATTATGTAGTGGGATAGCAGGATAAGGTAGTATCCCATATTGGGTTTGGAATATAATTGGAATATTATCCAAATCGAATGACATTATATAGTGATACTGGGATAACATAAACCACCATCATAACTACTATGCATGGGATTGTAATTGTATGTGCTAATGAATATATATATATATATATATATATTTACATATGTACACGAAATATGTCAATTCCACAAACTGCCGTTTTGGCGTTAAACCAAGCCGACGATGAAAGACCTGAATGTTTGGCTGATTTTTGGACGGCTTACACTTGAAGTTTTTCGGATTTTTCCGTGCTTGTGTCGGAGATCGAGTTGGATTGTAGCACACTACCCTTGAAACAAACAGGAACTAGCTTTACTTGCAAGCTTGATGGGTACTGTATCTTGTGACCATATCTATTGATAATGTGTATTATATATATATATACACCAATATTACATATATATATAATATACATACCCATATTGGTGACTATATCTATACATTGGCGAACATGGCTTGGTTTTAAATACATCTGGTTGGTTTTCACGAGGAGGCCAGGCTACCAGATTCGATCCAAGCAACAAAGCCGGAATAACTTGGACTAATAAACACTGTATACTATATGTATATATATATATATACATATACATACAGTGAATATGTGTATATATACATATATCAATACATACGGTGAATATGTATATGTATATATATATATATACACGTACAGTGAAAACATATATATATATACATATACATCACTATTCAGACGTACATAAATATGTTCCATTTTATGTGTATAATTATGTAAATATAATATATGTATAGCTGTGATTATATGTCCACAATTGTTGATAACTAAATAAACACACGTCACAACTGTCAAAACTAAATAAAGACCTCATCAAGGACAACACAAACGCCGCTGCTGGGTCAAGTTGGGGACATCACAGGTGTGCAGCGGAGTGACGGCTTTTACCAACCATGTGCGGTAAAATTGGTGATGGTTGATACTATTGTTTTACCCACATAACTGCAAAGAATTAAACACATTACGTATATAGAATACATGGTATTAAAGATACGTTCCCCCAAAGTTAAACCATTGTTTTCATCTTTGAAACTACTCACTTTGTTTAGATTGGAGTATGATCTTTAATGTATGCATATTCTAGACACTGTCAAAAAAAACATCATTATGTAGAAAAGTGGTCTCTGCAGGACGCGGGAAATATACTTTACCCTAAAGGTCCCCCGCACACACACATATATATATACATATATATATATGTATGTATAGAGACTTATCAACCATCCAAAATGGGATAGAATCTTGCCATCAACCAGCAAAAATAACCAAGCATGAGAATATTGTCCATCCACCATGTTGAGAAGGGCAATTTGTCCATTCTCCCGCCCAGATCGCTTGGAGCACAACCACAGCGCGGCATGCATGGACAGCCATGTCATCGGCATGGACAATTATTCACTTGGTGGAATCTACATGAACTGCTTGATCGTGATACTTTGAACTGACTTCACCATGAAATATTTGCTTTAAGCCACAGAAACCAGTGGGTTTTGATCACCACAATTCGTTCTCGGGGATATTTCTACAACATTTTTTGGGATACCTCAAACCAGGACCATGAGGATTGAAAAATCAGTTGAAGAGTTGAGCTAAGATTCAAATAGTGTTCACCAAGAACTGAACTTGTTATTCATATTCGTTCATCCTCCGCATCGTTGCTCAATCCCTGACTCGAAGGCTGCTTTGAGCCTTAAGTGGCAAGTTTCACCTCCAGTTGTCCACCAACTCGATCTGCAGTTTGAACAGGTTTAATTGTGCCCGTGAAAGAACAACAACTGCAAACTTTCTTGTAATATACATACATATATGTATGTATATATATATAGTATGTATATATTTTTTGATATCCTAATAAAGAATATAGAACATGTTTTCTGATTGGATACTGAAACAATTGGATGACATGGATAATTACTAAAGATGGCTTCTTCCTACTTCCCTGCACACAAAAGTTACCTTTAGTAGGATATGCTGTTCCTACATTCCCCTTTCATCAAGATCAAACTCGGCCCGAGATCTGGTGGGTGAAGAATCACTACCCCCTACTGACTGTACTGGGCGC